GTCAAACAAAATCTACCGATGTCCGCACTAAAAAAAGATAGAATGTTAGTTTTGTCCTTCTAATACCTACAATGATATCTTTAACTTCATGAGCAAAACGGTAAAATAATACATTACTATTAAAAAGTTTTACAATCATCCCTGATAAGGGATGTAAGTAAAATTATAAAACTCGAAGGAAGTAAGTGAATTTTACTTTATCACATTTTGATATAATATATAACTTTGTGTATTACATTTTTTATGATAGCGTGCTGCTCATCAATTTAAGAAACAATTTAGCACAATGGGGGTGAGTCTTTACCCAATTTCAAAGCTGTTCTATTGTAACACGTAAGTTTAAGATTTGAAATTAAAAATAATTTTTTTTTTTTTTTGTATTAGTTATTTAAATTTTATTGACGTCTAGCGCAATCAGGGATGGATGCATGTACAAGTCACTGCCTTTTTTTATTTTTTATTTTTTTTTAGTAATATATCTTACTATTTTATTTATTTTGATATATATAAAATTATACGATCAGCCTGAAATTACTAAAAAATTACACTACTACCCCGGCACAACAGAGAGCACACAAGTTGTTACAAGGGACTTTCGCTTTTGCTCACCCAATCCTTTGAACGGGATGTTTCACAAAATGGGTCTGTGTGAGTTGACTATTTACCAGACCACCATCCAAAAATAACAAGCACGTGTGGTGACTCCGGGTTGACTCGGCTGTTCACGCGGCAAATCGGCCTGAGTGGTGGATAGACGTGACCGACACTGACATCTTAAGTGGAGTCCCAAGTGGCCCATGGAGTATAATGTAACACAGCGACAGGTCTAATGCATTTTTATTTTTATTTTTATTTTTCATATTTTGGGTTGATAATATTCTTTATAACATGTTGGTATTTTACACATGTACAGAAATATTTTATTGTAATTTGTGAAAAGAAGTTGTTTTTAAATATTAAAAAAATAAAATTTCTTTTAAATGACAATTAAATCATACACTTATGTTCTTACCGAACTTATAAATTGATCGCTTAGAATTCCATTTACAAGATAGAGGATATATTACTAGGTTATATTCATTGTTAATTAAAAATAATTGATTAATATGATTTGAGGAGTTGTTACTCAAAACATTTTTGAGTAATAAATATAAAAAAGACAAATTCAAGTTTGAGTATATTTTTTTAGGAGCTGTTTGATATGTATTTTGTTTTTACGTTTTGACATATATATATATATATATTTTTCCATTGTTAATACTCACACATACATGTTTTCTTGGAGGCTTGAACTTTTAACATTTTATTGAAAAGTAAGGGCCTAATACTGCTAGACCACTGTCCGGTTGATGCATTTCGACATTATGACTTACTTGCCTAATGAATTTACCATGGTCTAAAACGAGTCTTCTGATTTTTTAAGCATTTGATATCTATGCCCTAAAATCATTAATTCTGAAGATGCAAAATTACATTTGATTCTTAAATTCATCAAGAATTTTATTAATGAAGTTCACCAAAATCTGCAATATCTTAATTAACAAAGTTATTTGGTTAACATGGATTAAAAATTTGGTAAATTTCACCAATTTTAATAAAATATTTAGAAAATTTCATGAGCATGGGGAAATGAGAATATGCTTCTCATATGACAGTTTACAATTTTTCCATATGCAAGGAATTAAACTTCCATTCCATATTGGCATGGGAAGAGAATCCCATTCTTTTAACTAGTTGATGGTGGAATTGGAGACCAAAATGATCCAACTAGTTGAATGTGGCAGCAGCAGTGAGCGTGGATGGCACTAGGGTAGGATGAAAAGGAATTAGGTTCACCTCCTCTGCCATTTCCTTACCCTCCACCTCCATTTTCTTTTCCCCTGGGGAATTGATTTCCTTATCCTATGTTTGGTTACATGAAACTTGGGGAAAAGTGAGAAGCAATTACCTTTCTTGCTACCCTTTTTGAACTCTTTGTAAGTGGTGTTATGAAAGTGGTAGGTTTGAAGAAGGAAATGTGAAAAGGGCAAACAAGGTTCAGTGGGAACTCGATTATGGGCGCACCCGTTCGTAAAGTCGGGCACTCTACCAACTTACTAGGTAGAGTGCTCAAATTGGATTGATTAATAAGCAGTCATGACGTTTAAATTACTAAGTAATTAACACTAATATATTATCCGACACTTCCATCAAAGTAACAAGGATCTTAAAAATATTAAATATTATATATATATATATATATATATATATATATATATATATAGATAAAATCGGGACGAGTTCATCATTAAATCTGTCCCCACCCCAAACCCGCTTCGAGTTTTCAATTATTTTATCATGCACATCTCAAACTCATTTAGGAGGCTACCAAATCTGTCCTATTAGGAACGGGGCAAAAACAGACCAAGTTAAGAAAAATTGCCATCCCAGTCGCTAGTATCTACTATCTTAGCATTTCTTAAAGATATAACATATAAGATGAAGAATTTTATTACTGTTATACTTTAGGTGACATCGATTATCGTCTTTGGGATATAAATTAGATGTGTTTTAAGTTGGGTAAATGCCATGCATTTCCTATAAGGTTTTTCAATAACTCACATAGATCCCTTTAAGTTTTATAATTTCACTTTTCTCCTCTAAAGTTCTAGTTTATATAACAGGTTCCTCTCAGTCGTTAAGCATTTGACGAATTATGTTGACGTCGGCAAAAGAAAATTGATAGAAATTCAATGTTGCCCTTATAATGTCTGAAATGACAATATATTCATGAGTCGCAAAAAGATAAAATAACACATTACCTTTATTAAGGTGGATGACCCTTATTGATAGGGCAGGTAAGTGAAATTATGAAATACTGAGGAGTCTATGTGGAATATTAAAAAATCTTATGGCAATTGTGGAATATTGAAAAATTTTATGGCAAGCAAATGAAATTTATTCATTCAAATTTTATAAGAATGGGCATTCAACATTGCCTGACAGTGTAATTTTGAATTTTTTTATATTGTCCAGAAATTCATGCTTTCATTTGTCTATATGGAATAACGGTCTCTTATTACACTAAGGCCTAATTTGGCTTAAAATATAGAATGAACATTCCATTCCAACCATTCTCTTATTCAGTATGACATTTAAAATGAAAATCACCATTTTCCTTGGAATAAAAATCCATTCCACATCTAATTAATCCATAGAATGAAAATTCATTCCAATGAACGAAATTTTTGGCCACCGCCACTGCCTTCCACCACCACCACCACAACCACTTCCACCGCCTTCCACCACCACCACTGCCTTCCCCTGCCGTCGCCTTCAGCCGCCGTCATCCTCTACCACCGCTACCACCTTTTGCCAACGCCACCGCCACTGTCATTGCCTTTCACCGTTGGAATAGTAGTTGTTATTTTATTCCTACGTCATTTTATATTTATAATCAAATAATAAAATAAGAATGATTATTTCATTCTATTTTTATTTTTATTTTATGTCATTTCATTTCATTTCATTTTGTGTACCAAACTAGACTTAAATGTTCACCATTACTAAATTTTTTGTTGTTAGAATGGAGAGGTATAGGAAAATGGTTTTTTTTTTTGTTTTTTTGATTTTTTTTTTTTAAAATATAACCAAGCTTCTGAAACATATTTTCATATTCATAGTGAAAATTTGCAATCCTAAAAAAACGTCACGGTCCTTGTTATGTACGCAGTACTAATATTAGTGCGTTATACTTTGTGTATATAGTCTCTCTCTGTCCAAAAAGTTCGACGATATATACTCACTCTAGTCCTTCGCATGGGATCAGAACTCTCAAAGGAGTTCTAGTATTTTGTTAGTGTTAACTGATGTGTGGACAATCAACAAATCTGATGTGAGCTGGGCCCACATGCAACAAACAAGGTGAAAAACATATTTCGTCCACATTTGACGGCAACAGAATAGTCAACGAATATTGGGAGTAAAGTGGGACCCCATCAAGACCGGAAACGTATTTATGATACCATGGTCAACACTGGCAGCCCGTCTATTATGACCCTTTTATTTATTTTTATATATATGTGGGTAATATTTATGATGAGACGCCTTTTATTACAAGAAATGTGAACTCTTACTATTCGATTGAAACCGTATTTTGAAACGTATGAAAAGTCAAATGAGTTATAGTAGAGTGGAATTCCATTCTTTTAACTAGTTGATGGTGGAATTGGAGACCAAAATGATCCAACTAGTTGATGGTGGCAGCAGCAGTGAGTGTGGATGGCAATAGGGTAGGATGAAAAGGAATTAGGTTCACCTCCTCTGCCATTTCCTCACCCTCTACCTCCATTTTCTTTTCTCCTGGGGAATTGATTTCCTTATCCTATGTTTGGTTACATGAAACTTGGGAAATAGTGTGAAGCAATTACCTTTCTTGCTACCCTTTATGAACTCTTTGCAAGTGGTGTTATGAAAGTGGTAGGTTTGAAGGAAATGTGATAAGGGCAAACAAGGTTCAGAGGGGACTCGATTATGGACTCACCCGTTCGCAAAGCTGGCACTCTACCAACTAGATCTTTGTTGTCGTACAATTTGGGGTCACTAGGTTCATACAATTTGGGATCCTCATTTTGGTTAACCAGCGGAGAAAGCTTTTACTGGAGGATCGAGGTATTTCTGGCCTAGTGAACGTTGTTTATTTGGGTGTTTATCGGTAATGGTATACAATCGGTTTATGCACTAAATAAGATCTTTTTATGGGGACTCTTTTCTATTATTTCTTTTTGCCATATCCTTTAGAGCGTATAATGTTGAAAGCCCGGTATGAGAAAGTCGGTTTAAATTTCTTTGACAGCTACGTGTGGATAATTTTCTCAAAGTGAGAACAAGGAATGCAGAAAAGTTCCTATAAATTTTGCGAAAAATTCCAGTTTCCAGGATATGAAACCTAAAACCAACATCATGACCAGGACCCAACTTCTGTAAAACAATACAACATAGCATCTCCAAAACCCAATTCACAGAGAGAGAGAGAGAGGAATTAGCATAACATAACATTGTATCAAAATATATTTTTGTTTGGGTTTTCAAAATACATGGGGAAGAGGGAACATTAACAGAGTCGGACCTGCATAAATAACACGACGAATAGTAGCATTCTTCGAACTTCTTGTAACGACAAACCACTGGAACTATGAAATATTGGCAAAAATAACATCATCCGTCGTCTAATACTCAGCTCAGCTTGCTTCCCACGAGAAGATAACAGACAACAGACGGGTATGCTAATGAAGTGCATACATAAAGCACCAGCCTGATTCGCCGACCTATGATTTTGTTCCCATACATGTCCCCATGGAATGGATACCACAACTTCCATAGTGAATTGGAACAGCCAAAAAATGATCAAGACATTTGATTTTTGTTGTCAATGGATGTGTACCATAAAGAGGCTACTTGGAGTTTCAGCTTTCACCGTGCACGAGAACAACAATACCCTGGGAAGGAGAAAAGATCTGGCTTGGGTCAATCTCATTACAAACATAAAAGCAAAGTTCAGAAGATAAAACCTTCTTTTTTTAGCCCCCCTGTTTAATAATAAAAAATACTTAAATGGAGAACAACTAAGTTAACCTGCCTATTATCCCATCTAACTTTCGCATCCTTGTCTTTGATTAGAAAATATATATATATATATGCATTATAAAGAAAGGGTTTTCTTGGCTTGCAACATAAACCTGATTGCAAGTACATACAATATTAAGCCCCCAGATGTTGGGGGGTTGAACAAGTTAAATTATGTTCAGTTGCCAGCCAATTGCAAATAATGTATTGTTGTTAAATAAACAAAGGTAGCCACTAAATTACATGCAAATGAATCAATATTTTTCATTGCATTGGTTGTCTCATCAGATTAGTGGACGACTTTTAATATCCGTAAGCATGAAAATTTTCCCTTTGGATTCATGTAGTGTCTGAACACACGAAAAGCTCGAGTGAAATAGAGTCGTCTATATTAAACATCAACATAGTTACAACAATAAAATCAACAGAGACATGGGGTCCCTTGTCTTCTAAAATACTGTAAAACTTTTAACTAGTGTTAAGGTAAACAAATATGTCAAATAATATATTGTAAAATTTTCAAAGAACAGACAATGGCCTGTCTGAAATGCTTTGCAAAAGACAATGCGCTAAAGTTCCATTTTCATGCAACATCAGGACACCGTGTAAGCTTTCTGTCCAAGGTGAAGAAGATAATACATTAGTTTGATTTAGAAGAGTCGTCTTTAATGGATAAACTTACCTATACTGTGAAGATGGATAATCTGATCATAGGCTCAAATTGTCAAGCAATCTATATAGTTGAACTAGGTTGTATTGGGGGATTGGTCTACGGCACTGACATGATGAATCTCCATGATCACCAGAATCCTAAAATGGAAGTGCTGAAATTGAGTGTTCAAAGAAAGTACATTAAACTTATTTAAATGCTAAATAAAAAGACGATGGTCTCACTTGCAATGATAAACTCAATCAAAAAAGGTTATATTTTAAGGGATGTCCTAATGCACCTTTAGCTTTCCAATTGATTTAGTAATAAAGATTATTTTAAAAATAATCGGACACCATTTTAGTTTTTAAAAAAATATCATATATATGAAGCTGCACTTGTGGTGGAGGGTTGTTTGTACGCACAGACATTATGAATCTTCTTTAAGATTCATAAAAGTTGCGGAGTAATTGAAGGGTGACATTCTAGCATGATACTTGGTGCTGGGATCAGGACTTAAAAGGTTGTCTTGCCAAACTTGTCAGAATTTCTAGGGAGAAGGAAGCTGTGATAGTAGATTATGTGAGGTTATCTAATAGAGGAATGATCTGGGAACCTTGCTTTGGAGGGGTGGTCCAGGATTGGTAGCAGGAGGCAGTAGATTCCTTCTTTGATTTGTCATTTATAGGCATTCTAGTTGAAAGAGAAACGTGTTTTGTTGGACACCTGCTCGGAACAGTAAGTTTGAAGTGAGTTCTTACTATAAGGTGTTGGCAGGAGGCGTTCCTATTCATTCTCCATGGGCAGGATACAATGCGTATTAAAGTTTCTTCAATGGTGGCCTTTCTTTTTTGTACGGTTTCTTAGATACAAATTTGAAAATTGATAATTTTGTATAAGGGGAAATGTTATGTACAAAGTAAATGGTGACTAACCAGTTGCAGCTAGTGATCTACTATCACTCTCATTCGATCTTATTCAAAAATTTTGTTGTTGTTGTTGTCTTTTTTTTTTTTGTGAAGTAATACCTACTCACCTATCCTCCCAGGTGAGACTTGAACCAGCACCACTCCTTTAGGGATGGCTGGAAATATCACTCTAAGCTAACATCTGAAATTTCCTGATTCGCTCTAATTATACTGTTCTGGTTGGTTGATGTTGAAGTCAATTGTAGAATCACTTGAACTCTTGGCAGAGGAGTTGGCAGGGAATTGTGTATCTAAGGCAAGAGGGTAGCCTGGAGGCTGGAAGGCATATCCATGGTGCCCTTTTTTGGTGTCAAAGCGGAAGGAGAGCAATAGACATTCATTTAATAGAATGAAATTGCAGATGCTCAAACTGGAGCATGATCTTTTAACTCTTTATTTTATGGGTTCCTTGGAGGTTGCCCAGTCGTCATATTAGTTTGTAGATTTTGGGAGAATCTGTTCATTTAGTTTCTTTTTTTTTCCTTTTTTTTTTTTAACCTCTGTAAGAAATTTTTTTTTTTTTTTTTTTTTTAACCTTGGCAAGAAACTCACACACCTAGGGAATTGAACCCTCTACCTTTTATTTGGAAGGTGAGAAAGCATCGCTAGGCTACAATCTTTGGTGGTATATAGTTGCTATTTTTCTTTCTTTCTTTCTTTCTTTTTGTTTTCTCTTGTATACTTACATGTGTACTTCAGTTGCACCCCTTGGTGCTCCTCGGCAATCTTTTAACTTATCCCGAAAGAAAAAGACATATATTTATCACCAACAAACAAACCCTGCCTAATCAATGTTTACCATCCATACACACTGATATCACTCTGCCAACCTCATCACTCTATACCTAGGAGGAAAGTTTATCTAAGGCTAGCAACTTCAACCTCTCTCTCTCTCTCTCTCTCTCTCTCACAAACAATCCTTCTACATACACCAAAAAAGAAAAGCAAAAGTGTAAATTCATAATATCATTTCGGTGGCAGTTACATAAACACTAACATATGTATTATATTCAATTTGGACCAAAGACATTTTTTCTTATAAAAAAGAATAAAATAAATAGTTATATGAATCACGTGTTGGCAATTTCTTACATAGAACCTTGCTTGTATTTTCTATAAGTGTCATAATCATATGAACCGATGAAGGGTACACACAAAGATTTGTGACAAACACAACAAGAAATCTGCATGCTCAATCACACATCTAGAGTAAAAAACCTTAGAGAGACCTTTGATGACCTAGTTTTTATCTTGGTTAGGCCCAAAATGTTTGTTTAAACTTGTTTTTAGAAATTGGCTTTTCAATGTATTGATTTTTGAACTAGTTTTAAAACTATGTTTTTATTGGAAAACAGTATGTGTTGATGGATCCAAGGGCTCTCCAGTAGAGTTTGATTAATAGGGGATCGATCGAATTTCTCCAGAAAACTCTTTCATAGTCTCCAATAAGCCTCGAACAATCAAAGCTTCTTTTTAGAAAATCTAGTAAAACATATTTCTAAAAGAATTCAACTTACCAAAACGTATGGGTTATCTACATTGGCTATAAATATGGGGGGTGAAGTGCAGAAAACACCTCTAATGTATAATCCCCGTAGCACTTTCACCCCCTATTTGAAAAAGTGTGCTAATAACCCCCTTATTCTTTTAACATTGTGCAGAAACACCCCTCAAGAGGAAATCTTACATAAAGTAATGCTGAAATGCCCATTTCATCCTTTTACTCTTCCAAAAATGCCCAAGGGTGTGTGTGTGCTAATAATCTCATAGTATAGGGGTGTTAAGTGCACATGAGCTTCCTTTGCTCTTTCTTCTATTACTTCCTTTTCTTGATCCAATCACTATACAAATTTCAAGAGGCAAAAGTTAACACCTCCAGTGGAAGGAACAACTGGATGCAGTAGGGAATGGGGATGATGATACCAAATGCAGTATTTGTCACGTATTCTTCCTATGACTACAAAATATTTCTCAGTAATCGGTGGCTTGTCTCTGATTCAGCTGCAAGTCTGCTACTATTACTATAATTAAACAGAGCTTACATTTGCCAAGGTCTAATAGCCTGATTTTGAATCTAATTCAGCAGAACCAAACCCAAGTAGTTCTCTGTTTGCAGGTTGGTTGGGTTAATACTGCAGAAAATAAGTTTGAGTCGTTCATACCAAATAGCCATGTACAACTTGAGTTCATGACCTGGTAGAGAAGTTGAGTTTATCTAGCTCGACTCTTTGTTGACCTACAACAAATTTATTGTCCTACTAAAAGGTATTTCAGGGCCAGTCAGGTTTCAGTTTGGGATTGATCCTAGTTATATCTGCTGCAAGTACAATTTTTCTCAAATCTATGAATATCTGAATCTCTGATTTGGGTTTGTGATTTTATTCTCAAATCCTTTGGCGATTTGAAGAAAGTTGCTGGCTGAGATATTTTTGGAGGAGGATTTAGAATATGGGTTATATAGAGATGTAGAAGTCCATGATTGAGTACTGCTCTCTCTCTCTCTCTCTCTCCAAAGTGGGTCAGATGGTGCGTATCATAGGTTGTGCCTTCTTTAGTAATTTCCCAAAACCATATTTTTTATATAATTTATAAACTGTCTCAGTAAGGGCATTTTAGTCAAACTCTACCTTAAATGTCTCAGTTGGGACCTATTTGCACAAATTGAAACTTTAGGGGTGTATTCCGCATACGAGAGGTGTGATATGTACTGTAAGCATACTATATGGGTGTTTTTTGCACTTCACCCTAAATATGGGTATATTGTCAATCAGGGTTAAGGATACACGTCTCTAATCATCTAGAGAGGAAATTCCTTGAGAGATTATCAGGACTTCATCATATGTGATTAACTGTTCAACAAGGAGAAGTAAATCAGACTACCGAGGCAAATCAATTCAACCAAATAGAGAATTGAACAGAAAATTTGAACAAGGACAAGCAGATTGCATAGAGCAAGTCTGTTGACAAAGAGGATCAAGGTCCTAAAGACTGAGTTCAAGTTCTGCTACTGTCTGTGTCAAGAGGAAACTAGGGCTCCTGGGGGATGGTAACTGTCAATCAATGTGTATATTGTTTTCATAGTGGATTGTCCATGGTTGGACTAGGCCCCATGTTTCTCTCTGTTTAGGGTTTCAAAATAAAAACCCTGCCCTCTATTTAAATTCAATTTATATGACTGTTTAATTGAATACAAAGGAAAGACTGAAACAAACTAAAAATCCAAAAATGGGTTTATAGTTAATCTAGGTGAAGGATACACGTCTCTAATCATCTAGAGAGAATTCCTTGAGAGATTATCAGTTGACTCAATCTAGGGTTTCCCTTGGACTTCATCATATGTTATTAACTGTTCAACAAGGAGAAGAACATCAGACTACCGAGGCAAATCAATTCAACCAAAAAGAGAATTGAACAGAAAATTTGAACATGGAGAAACAGATTGCGTAGAGCAAGTCTGTTGACAAAGAGGATCAAGGTCCCAAAGACTGAGTTCAAGTTCGGCTACTGTCTGTGTCAAGAGGAAACTAGGGGTCCTGGGGCATGGTAACTGTCAATCAATGTGTATCTTGTTTTCATAGTGGATTGTCCATGGTTGAACTAGGCCCCATGTTTCTTTCTATTTAGGGTTTCAAAATAAAAACTCTGCTCTCTATTTAATTTCATGTTTATATGATTGTTTAATTGAATACAAAGGAAATACTGAAACAAACTAAAAATCCAAATCATAATCAGCGAGAATTTAGCAAATAACTAAAATTTGAAATTAATATCCATCAGACCTATTCACCACCCTCCACGTCTAATTCACTGCACACACTAAGTTTCAAACCTCTTATGGCCCCAATTAGTTATAACATGGAAGAGGAAGCCGGAGGATCCCCTGCTATATCTGCCGAGGTCCACTTAGGATGAAAGAAGTTTGAAGCTTCTTATACCAAGCAAAGCAAGAAAAAGAAATTGCATAGCCCAAAAAACTCATGCTGATGAAAGAAACAAACATAACTGATATTATTTGTGGTGAAATACAGATGGTTCAATTTTTTGACCTATTCTTCATCAAGCAACTTAAACCATATAGGAGAACTTAAAACATTAAAAGAAAGTGGCATTCAATAATAAAAAATTTGGTAGAATGAAGTCATGGACCAGGGAGATAGGGAAGAAAGAGTACCAATACCAAAAGTGTGTCTCCAATCCTCATCGGGTCATTCTTGAAGGTCTATGACAACATGTGACATATCTTCCTACAATCTTTTTCACAGGAAGGGGTCCCCTGTAAATCAACCATAAAAGTGCACGAAAAGAGTAATGAGATGAAAATAAATGGTATTTTATTTTCAAATATTTAGAAGAATGGGAAGCAGTTGTGCATCCAAGGAAAAACTATATGTGGAATTAGCATTAACCTTAGAAGTTTATCAGTAAAAGGAGTAAGGAGTATTATAAGTGAATAATTCACCCTGAAAGGGAGTTTTTCTTTCTTAGATTCTCGAATTCATCTTTACAATAAGAACAATAAGAAAGAATGTGAGTCATCTAAACCATCAACTTGTAAGGGTTCAAAATACTGACCAAACATGGGAATCACAGCTGTTATTCCGGTTGTCACCCAACACATAAACATGTCCTTTAGGTACATACTGCAGATCCAAACAGAGGTGAAATTGATATTTAGCAACAAACTAAAATTTGGCCCTACAATTAAGAGGGATCCAACAAAGCATATACGTGCTTATGAGGCTTCATTAAAAACCATAATGCGTAATTGGGAAATGAGAAGCACTTAGGCAACGCTGCCTCCAGTTTTAGGCAATTAAGGTGGTTCTAAGGCTCCATGCGAAGAGAAAATCGCTTTAGAATTTTTAATGTGGGTCAGATTATTTTCTATATCTATATTTTTTACCAACTAGCACTCCAATTTCCTAGTTTCTAGTATATTTGACATAAAATACATCAAACTGCGTGAATCATGTGTGAGATGTTCGATCTGCTTCTTTACTTCTCTCTCATTGTCTCAAATCTTCTCCTTTTCTCCTGTACTTTTTCTCACTTCGCCTTATTCTTCTATTTTCACCTTGAACCACAAATTGTATTGAGCTGATCCTGAACCAAGGTGTTTAACAACAAGGTGTCCGCAGGCTTCTACACACTCACATCCTTTCACCTTACAAGTTGATAAGGTGCAGATGCAGCATGGAGTGAACCCCGGCAGTTTCTACGCGTAACCTTGTTCAAGAGCACACTACACTGCCTAGGAAATGCAAAAAGAGTGCAAAAAGTAACAGATATGGGACCTACAGTTAGGTCTGTTATGTATCTTGGCCGTTCCGCTATAAAATCTTCATTCTGGGGGATCCCATTGACATAGAGCCAGCCATGATGAACCTGCAAGGTATTAGAAAAACATTTCAGGAGTAACACTCAACATTGGTGCAGTGCAGGTCAACTAATTTCATTTAACAAGTAAAACGTTAATAAATGCAAAACTATTATTATATGCACATCGTTTTCAATTAAACCCAATCCAAAGAATGTTCCGTTAACAAGACACCAAATACTAATCAATATTGATAACATCATCAAACATATAAACCTCCAATAAGGAAAAGACCTTAAAACAAAATTATGGTAAGCACATTTTCTTGTTTGTCAAAAGTAACTACACAGGTAGCTACCAAGTATGGTCAACCATCTAAGACCGGGAGTTTATAGAAAAAACCTATTTTGGGAAAGGCAATGGGGAGAAAAAAAAAAAAAAAGAGAGAGAACATCAACTTTATCAGATTGTTTCATTTTTCTTACAGGGGAGCAGGAATTAAGTTCAAAATGTTGAAGTTTATGGCCATTAACGAGGGAAAGGCATAGGGTTAAAACAATTGGGTATACCTCAACCAAGTCTCCTGCTCTTGCCACAATTCTTTTTATGAGAATTTCTTCCTCCCTGAAACCTAATTGCTGTAGGCAATCATGAAGATAGGAGGCTTTCAGGACAAGAAGAAGTAAAGAGAGAGAGAGAAAAAAAAAAAAAAAAAATTAATGAACAGCAAACACTAAAGCACAGGCATCAGTAAAATTTCAGTTGAACAAACAAACCTGTGCCGGAGCTCGGAAAATAACAATATCACGTATAGCAGGGCGTCTGATGAAGTATGAGGCCTGAGGAAGTCATCAAGATATAATCCTTTAGCAGAAATTAGGAGTTGAAAACAATGATTATGATTAGCAGCAACAAAAATAATCACTGTGAATCTTAATCATAATTTTGACCATAGCCATAACAAATTTTTTAAATGAACATCCTGGGTAAATGGATATACTAGAGGATTTCAATGTCAAATAACTTAAACGATGGCAGCACACATGAATTCCATTAATTCCACCTCACTGTTTTCCTTGAAAAGTTTCTGAAGTAGCAAACAAACCAAAGATTCATCTCCCAAAGGTTGTCTTAGAAAGCCAAACCTTGTATTATAGCTGACCTGATAACAAATGTTTATTATATCATACTTCCAATTCATAATGAACTTTCTTTTTATAGCTATGAAACAAAGAACTGTTTCTAATTCAAATGTTTTTATCCCCAAAATTTCTCTTAGGATCACTGACTAACATTCACAACAAGCAGTTGAATATAGATTCATAACTCAATTTGATGAAGGTACACTATTGGTTAACAGAAGATTCATTCAGATTGTAAGACAAATATTCTTAAACTGCACACTCAGTTTCTCTCAACTTGCATTCTTAGGGCTCAGGTGTCGCAACTTGATCTTCTCTTTTTTCCCTGCTGATTTACTATTTTAGGACTTGAGGATAAAAAGTATAAATTATGGCACAGCAGTTGAGGATTCTTACCCCTTAAACTGTAATATAAACACTGCATTTTACCCAAGAGAATTAAAGATTTTTTTTAAAACTGTGCTAGAGATCCTCATCACTTCAATGTGCACCATGCAAACAGCAGTTAATCCAAACAAGTAATATTTTCAGTGGGAATTGTTAAGCTGCCTCCCATCATCCACTTGGCTTACATACTTTGATAAAGTAAGACGAGCAACTCATTGGTGAATAAATTGTTCCAATGTATTATGTTGATTCATCATGATTGATCCCTACTGTCACTTTTAGATAGACACAAAAATAAAGCGCCAAATATAATATTGCATAGGAGGCCAATTCCTAGAATTTATAGAGTCTAGGTGCTCGTGCCTATGCACTTGCCTAGCTGGATTTAACAAAAGTAGCATATAGCAATCGAAAGGTGCTTCAAGACCTTAAGTTGGGTTTATAAAAATTAGCTGAAGTTTCCAAAATAATGTGGACAATATTTTGGTTATGATAACTTGAATGTAATAAAAATAAGCAATTTCTTCGTCATTTTGATAGTAGATTTCATTTATTTTTTCTTCTAGAATGGCTAATATATTATTAATACCACGCACACTATGCTTACCCCAAGTTCCCAACCACTGAAAATTGAAAACAGGAATCCGTCTTTTCCACCAAGTCAGAAGTAATGTCTTTCAGTAAGCCTTAAATTTTAATGCCTGAAATCTCAAACTCATATTACTAATCTAGCCCAAGTCATTCTGATCTTTTGGGCATCCTTTTTGCAACTTTAACTTTCACCAAAACAGATGGTAGTGAAAATGAAGACCAGAACGCAGATATGTTTGACCCATTGCTGATGTCAATGCAAATTTCAAGCAAAGCAGCATTCAATCAACAAACCATAGGATGACACTGGTAAGAATATAACATATATAAATACAGAATGTGTGGGCGGTTAAAAATCTCGCCAGGAAAATATTGTTAAAAGTTATTACATTACACTTGAAGAAGGGCCATGGGAAAATGATGTAGCTGGAAAATATTATAGCAGGAGTCAAAGCAAGGTTGCATATATTGGGACTTAATCATTTAAATGCTGAGATGGTCAATAATCTATGTCTATGTTGTTGACTTCAGTGTAATTAAAGAGAATTAGTTAAGGAAGCTAGGTGAGTACTCTATACTGAGGTTATTAAGTCGTCAGGGAGTATGTAAATGCATTTATGCATGGAGTGAGCATCTAACCAAGTTGGACAAAAAACCCAAAAACTTCATATTTTTCAGTTATGGAGAAGGAGGGGGGGGGGGGGGGGGGGGGGGGGGGGCAACAAAAGGCCAGGAGAACAAGTTTGAACAAGTTTTGGGTTTTAATTGCACAAAAATTAGTCACCAGCTGGGATCATTTGAAAAGTGGTCAGTCTTAGGGGAGACCATGCAAAAGGTTAAAGTGGCTTTGCTTCAATCTCCTCAATTGAACTTGAAGTAGACAACAATCATCTGACTTTAGCTTTGATGAGAAATGTAATACACCTAATTTTAAAAAGATAGTCTCGGTATTTATTTATTTGTTTTAATTGTATTTTTAATTATTTAATTGATTATTTGACCAATTGCTTATGTGTTTAATTGAATTAGTTATTACTTGATTATTTGATTATGTGTCTATGTATTATTTGTATTTGTCTATGTGTTAATTGTTTAATTAGATTATGTGCTTAAATGGTGTTTTGATTAATTGTAAATTAAATGTTTTCTTTTCTTTTATTATTTTATTTTATTTTTTCTTTTATGGTTATGGTTAGTAGTAATTGGCCAACTAATTGGGTTCCATGGATTACTTGGATATGAGATTGGATGTGTATGGATTATTGCCCATGGATAGTTGTGCATGTATATATATAGATATATATTATATACATATACAAAAGGGAAAGCAATATATTAATTACTTTTATGGTAACTTGGGTAGTAATATTTAATCTGATGTATATGTGTTATATTTAAATAATAAAAATATACATAGATTTGATACGTATTATGTTTTAAGTTACTTTATAATATTATGGTAACTTAAGTATTGTTGGATAATCCATTAATAAATAATGGGATGTGTATAATTTATTTATTTAATAAAGATATACATATGTGTATATTTTATTTAATAAAAATATACATAAATTATATACGTAACATATTTTACTTACCTTTTTAATATATATAAAAGGGAAAGTAATTTATTAATTACTTTTATAGTAACCTGGGTAGTAATATTTTATCTGATGTATATGTTTTATATTTAAATAATAAAAATATACATAGATTTGATACGTATTATGTTTTAAGTTACTTTATAATGTTATGGTAACTTAAGTATTATTGGATAATCCATTAATAAATAATGGAATATGTATAATTTATTTATTTAATAAAGATATACATAAATTATATACGTAACATATTTTACTTACCTTTTTAATATTTTATTTTTTATTTTTTTAAGTTGACTTGGATTGGGAAAAGGGTTAGGGTTATTTTATTTAGCCTATAAATATATAGCTATAGGTTGTAAAATGGGGTTAGAAATATTCACGTGATATATACTAGATAGATAGTGTTAGAGAGGGAAGGAGGAAAAGGAAGGAATAAGGAGAAAAACCCTATAGAGAGAAGATCAAGGAAGAAGAAGTTTAACTTTCGATCCGAAAGTTTAAGACAAGTTCTTCTTCTATCTCTTTCCCTTTGATTCGTGTTTCTGTACATGCCTAGGAAATTCCAGGATTTATTAAACACATAAAATTAAATAATTATGCATGTTTAATTGGGTTAGAACATAGGTTTTATGAAATTGGTTCATATCTGTTCTTGTGTTATGAATTGATAAAATGCATGATTTTGATTTGATTTCTTATGTGAATTTTTACATGTTTAAATTATGCATTTTTCATATCTGTGGAATGATGGAACGTAGAAACATGCCTAGGATTCCTGAACATTAAATTGAGACTAGGTTTGGGTTTTAATAAATTTAAATAGACTCAATCATAATGATGTTTGCTATTTGAATGTTTTAAACAAACGAATGGATTTAATCTTTTAAAATATTTTAGCAATTGAGATTAAATGTGTAGGATGAATTGAATATAGAGAATCCTTATTTAACGGTATAATAAAATATCATCATGTATAAGATACAGTTTATGTAGGACATATGATATAGGAAGTTTAAAGAAATAATAAGTCATTCCTATTATGTGATAATTTGATATCATATTTATCATAGTTATTTATGAAATGTTTGATGTATTTCCTTAATTGTTACATCAATTGTTGGATTGTGTGGTTTAATGCACCGGTATGGGACGGTGGCATTCTAGGGATGGATTAACTTATCAGTTAAGTCCTACCTATTTTATATAAGGGAATGGATTAACAAAAATGTTAAGTCCTACTTATATTTAAGTCAGGTTAGCTGAACAAGTTGAATGGCTTATGGAGGATTAATTTATTATATAAGGGAATGGATTAACTAAAATGTTAAGTCCTACTTATATTCAAGTCATGTCAGCTGAACAAGTTGAATGACTTATGAAGGATTAATTTATACTAGATAGGATGGTTACTAGATTTTATATGTATAAGTATGGTGCCATGATATGAGCTTGAGTCTCAGGATTAATGGTTAGGGCGCGTATATGGCCAGGGATGTGTAGCTAGATATAGTGTAGTTGTGTACCCTGGTAGGTCTAGATACTCATGCCCACTATATGTGCGTTTTGCATGTTGCCTACTATTCAGGTTGAGACAACCCTATAGTCTAGTGAGGTTCCTTTAGTGTATATATATATATATACGGACTTCTAGTTACTGTTGGATTGACTAGAATGTATACGTGTATCGGATCTCTGCTTGGACTGTAGTAGAGTAGAACTTGTTTGTGGGCCTGACCCACCATTATTTTTCAGGTGTTCGTCACGAGTAGAGGTTGTTCGTGCTGAGCGGGGATCAGTCTACTTCATTCTTCCGATGCTACATAGGAGTTCCTTTACGATTCAGTTTCCTGTTTTAGATTACTGTCATTTGTTTAGTTTGGATTTTCTAGGGGTTCCCACAGTATGGATTCCCGAGTTGTATTTTGGAGGATCAGTTATATCAGAAGAGTTTATTAATCAATGGAAATATATTATGAAGTTTATTATTAGATTATCATTTTAGTTTCTTGTCAGCATTTTATTTATTTTTCTTTATTCTTTTGTACTCTGTGTTCGTTTATTATCAATTTGTTTTGATATCCTCGGGTATTCGGGCGTGGGTCTGGCCAACCTGCATTCGGAAATTCGGGGGTATCACAAGAAATAATGTCGTCAAGAAATCATGTATAGAGCACTAATGTCCAACTGTAGCTACATAAGCTATAATTATCAACAATGAACGGATTTCAACACCGTCCTCCCAAAGGGAATGGTGTAGCATTGTGATAAGCGATAAGGACATTACTTCAAAATAGCGCCAAGAAAAGGATGCATAAACACCAGCAACAACAAGGTACATATTAGAAAACACATACGATTTTTCCAATGGTTTTCAAGCAGAATAAACAAAAAACTTGTCGGTCAGTTCTCCCCGAAGAAAAAACACACACACAAACATGGGCCGCAGTTAAAATGCCAAGAGTTAGAAGTTGATTGCTTACAAGGGATGTTTAAAATGACCAATCACCAACAGGTTCACCCCATAAAAGGAAATTCTATCAAGAAACGGTGTGCACTCATCAAATGCACAACAACAAAATGTGAAAATGTTCATCAAATGCACGTGTCAACGAAATGTGAAAATGGTAGTAAAACAACTTATAACACATGCAATTGGAACTGTAGAGCTAATAAGGTTCAATAAAATTCATCACAGAGAACTGTACAGCTACAATAGCACATAATTAGGGTACATGCTAATAAGATTCAATAAAATAATTGCAAAAAATTTCTCAAATTATGTAGTCACCAACTTAGTACTCAAACTAGGTATTCAATTAAAGAAACCCAATTTAGGGAAGTAATTTAAGAACTAGCTATTTTAAATGTAATGTCAATGTTAAAAATTGTTACCCTTTCTGTGATGATTCGATCGCCAACACGGAGAGTGGGGTACATAGAAGATGAGGGAATGTGTAGAATTTCTGCCGTAACAGACCACAAAAGCAACACAACCAATAGGCGCAATAAACCCTCGAAACTCGGCCATCGAAGGAATTCCCAACTGTGACAGGGCATCCACCGTAGGGAATGGTAAGTAATCAAGAACTGATACAGTGCTGAGGGTCTCAAGAAGCTCATTTGAGCAGCAATTGTACCACAAAAGGACGAAATTGTGTGCTTTGTTTGCACACACAAGCACACATATATGTGTGTGCATATATATAATTTGAAGGGTTTTGAATCGGACTGGGGTTTGATCTTGCGAAGCTAGTGATCGGAGAAAGAGAGAGAGACCGTGTGGTTGGGGACTAGGGTTTTTGTGTTTCCGGTGGAGAATTAGGAGGTGTTAAACAGTGTTTTCTTGGTGGCGAAGTTTCTACTTATGGAAACTACTGTGTGCGTCAATGTGTGTACATGTATAGAGAGTCTCTCTTTATGAAAGAGAGAGAGAGAGAGAGAGGAGAGACATTCTCAATAGCCGTCACGGGTACCATTTATAATATGATAACGACCAACAAACCAAAATGTGATTTTATTTTTTATTACAGTATTACTATTAAATTTTTTATTTTTGTGTTTTTTTTTCAGTATACTCAGACCTGTACTAGTACTACCGAGTACCGACACAGAAAGAAAGTAGTCCAACACTCCTTATTTTTCTTCGTCAATAGTCAACACTGTCTCTCAAAGATTAATTAGCAATTTATTTGATTGGAAATATTTGGCGGATACAAAAATGATCGGAAATTCTGATATTTTGAAGTTTAATATAATATATCTTAGAATAATTAAATAATATTACAATGTTGTTAAATGTATCAAAAGAGTATTCAAGTCATTTAAAATAACATTACAATGTTGTCAAATGCATTTTTCAAAAGAATATTTATGTTATAACAGCGGGTCCACCCGTAATTAGTACATGGTAGTGTTTTGTTGGTGTGGCTAGTTGGAGGCTTTTGAAAGTACAATGATACGGTGATATAATGTTGGTCTGATGATGCAAAGATGGAAAGGCTTTTGATAGGTACAATAATGTAGTGATATAAGGTTGGTCTGACTATGCAAAGATGGAAAGGCTTTTGATTGGTACAATGATGTGCTGATATAAGGTTGGTCCGATGATGTAAAGACAGTGGGGCGCCGAAATCAAGAAGCAAGCAACACAGAGGAAATTCTTCCATATATATCTGTGTGTGTGAATTGTTTTCTAAGTATATACATATATATGTGTGTTCTATTACACTTCTTTCTAGGTCTCTCAATATATTTATTTATATGTTTTCACAACACGTTATCTGCACGACATTATAATCAAGTAAGAAAAAAACTCTATTTTTTTTTTTCTCACACCAAAGGATAAGAAAATAAATTATATTTAAGCAATTTAAATATTCTAATTATTATTATTATTATTGTTATATATATGTACATTGAAATATAATATTGTATTGTCTATTTTTCTTTTAGCATTCTCTTTATTAATATACCATTTTTTGCATGTGATAGCCTTATTTTGTTTGGGTTCTCTGTTCTAAATTTTTTTGTTGCTCTGATTATTAAATGAAGCAATGTAGGAAAATGAGGCATATCCAGTTGAAGTTAGGACTGTTTTGGAGGTGTGGGGTTGCTGTATGATATTTTGGAAGTTTAGGTTGTATGGTTGTATGCTATGTAGGAAGATGGGGTGTATTCAATTGTAGTAATGGTGTTGATAAATGAAATGCTATATTTTGTTTAATGCACTTTTTGGAGTCATGTTCAGTGTTTGTATATTTGTGCTATTAATAAGTGATTTAGTGGTCAATGCAGTTGACTTGTAGTTGAAGTCCTATTGTGGTTATTGCAATGTCACAAAAGACTTATAATTTAATGCAGTGTTTTACACTGCTCAACAACAACATTCAATTACTTGCATTGACAACAAAAGTCACTGCATTTTGATACACTATGACCTGCAATTCTCTTACACTAGAAACATAAAAACCTATGAAATGATAAACTTGCCCAATGACCACCTCTTTAAAACCTGTTCAATGACAAAACTTGTCCAATGATCACTTATTTAAAACTTGTTCAATGACAAAAATTGTCCAATGACCACTTCTTTAAAACCTGTTCAATGATAAACTTGTCCAATAGTATGTCATGGACCATAACCTGTTAAATGAAAACCTGTTTAACAAGTGACACCAAATTATGACACTTTGACACTAAATGTTAAACCTGTTAAATGAAAAACAATATGAATTAATAACATAGCATATTATAACATATCACTTAACATTCTGAACATCAACACTACAATAGGTACTTAATAACAAAGTATTCACATCCCATGAACATAACAATCACCAAAAAGGGGGCTCAGTTAAGGTCAGTATTAGCCATTACACCAAATTACATCAACAATTGACAACAGGAAGTATATAGACACAAGTGTCCATTAACCCCAACAAAACCAAAAGTAGAAGCTGTAATAATTTTCCATCCACCAACAAAACCAAAAATAGAAGTTGTAATAACTGGCCATCCACCCCAAAAAAAAAAAAAAAACACCAAAAGTAGCTACTATCTTCACTACCAACATGCATACTCACTGTCCATCATTGATCTATCAATAATCCAAGCAACTATACATCAGTTATTTGCACTCATTATTAACATATAGTAAACAAAAGGGACTATTTTCATCATACCTAGAAGATGATGCTTGTGTCTATGACAACTGAGAAAATGGTATATTTAGAACCTAAAATGAGTATCAACAAGTTAGCTAATTTGAAATAGATTGTATGTAGTATTAACATGTTAACTAATTTGAAAAAGATTGTGAATAAATTACATTAAATTAAAAGTACCTGTTGGTTTGAAGGTATTGCAGCTGGAACCTCAAGTCCTCTTGTTCTTCCTCTTCCTCTTCCTCTACCTGTCATCCCCTCATACTTTTGATCACCAGCATAATGCACCTTACACATTCTAACTTGGTGCTTGACTTTGTTGAGACTCTTTTGTATTTCTAGACATAACAAGCCACCTTGTGATAGCATCCATTCTCTCTTATATTAAAATCTTATCATTAGATGTCTTCTAATCCATTCTAGCATGTATATTATTGGCTTATCCCTTGCCTCAAGGATGATTACATTCCAACTTTCACACATGTTATTAATGACTACATCATTTCTTGAAGTGTGTGTGAAGCCTAACCTTGACCACAATTCAGTTGGCACCTTTTTCAACCACTCATAAGCTTCAATATTCAATTCCCTTATTTTCTTCATATGTTGCTCAAAATCAGCCTCTGTATATGCTCTTGCTGCCTCCCATAACAAATTTTTTAATTGTTATCCTTTGAACTTGAGCTTGAAATTCTCATAAAGATGTCTGACACAAAATCTATGGTCTGACCCTTCCATCACATTGTCAAAGGTTTCCACTAAACCATGTATATAAGACAAAATAGCAGAATCAAATATTAAGTAAATAATACAAAAGATGAATACTTAAATGCATGAATTAATTAATTAAATACACTATGAAATTGTAAATCAAATATTAAGTAAATAATACAAAAAATGAATACTTAAATGCATGAATTAATTAATTAAATACATTATGAAATTGTACCTTTTGTCTGTCAGATATGAAGGTTATACCATGGTAAAGTCCAATTACATCCATTAATTCTCCCATAAACCATTCCCAAGAGTCTCTTCTCTCAGACTCCACCATTGCAAATGCTACTGGGAATATTTGGCCATTCCCATCATTGGCAACTGCACTCAATAGGTGTCCACCATATGGTCCCTTTAGAAAGTAACCATCCACACCAATTAGTGGCCTACACCTTTCTTTAAAACCAATTTTCATTGCAACATAACAGATGAAGACTTTTTGAAACCTTCTAACATTCTCAACTGTACTTGGCTTAGTTTGTAATTTGACAACACTGCCTGGGTTGGTTCTCAATATCAAATTACAATAATCTTTCATTTTCTCATATTGGTCTGCTTCATTTCCCTCAATCATTTCTAAAGCCTTCTTTTTAGCCCTAGACATTTTGTGTTTGGACACATCAATATCCATATCAGAAGCAATAGTGCTCTTACGTGTACTCAAAGGCATCTTTGGGTTTATTCTAAATTGTTCTATGTATTTGTTTGCAATGTAGGAAGATGAAGCATGTGCATTGGTGTGATACCAAAGGTAGTTTCTATGTTCTTGCACATAAGTCTTTACTATCAAACAATGTTCATCTTCTGGTTTGCTTGCATATATCTTCCACCCACAGTCAGCCTTGCATACTACACTTACCCTATCTCCATCATTCCTTGTGACCTTTATATCAAACTTTCCCCTCATTGCTGTTTCTCTCAATGCCAACCTAAAATCATGAGCTGACCCAAACCTCATGCCTAATTCTATTTCCTTTTCTCCTAAATCCCTTGAAGGAATATAATCTAGGTATATAGAACCACTATCAATTCCTTCATCATCAGATCCATTCAAGCTTATCAACTCGTCATTGGGACCATATGGGCTTAACACATGAGCAATAAGGTCTGTTTCAGGTATAACATAGTTCCAACCTAAATCATCCTCTAAGCCTTCCTCATTTCCTGCACTGTTTAACAAAGGTGCAACAATGTACAACTTCACTTTGTTGGTTTCCCTATAGGCATCATGGTCATAAAACATTCTAAATACATTCAAGTCACACTTTACTTCTCTAAAGTTTTGCCACTCATAGGGTACTTTGTAGAAAACTTCGTTGATCACCCTATAACCTAACTTAGTTGCCATCTCTTGAACCTCAATAAATAACATCTTGTCAGGGTCAACTTTATCAAAGTGAGAGATATTTCCTCCTAGGTATGTCATAGGGGGTGATTTCTCAAAAACACCCCCATGATGAAGTTCAATTGTGTATACACCATTCATCTACAACAAGATATTGCAATAATCAAACAGTGGTCACAGTTAGAAATAGTACCAAATATTCAGTAGAAACAAGCACTACACTAATTAAATAATGCAGAGACAATATATTTAAGAACAGAAAGACAAAATCAATTATTCAACAGTACCAATTTGAAAATTCAATAAATAATAGGACCACTACAGAACATACAACATTTGACAACATTTAAGTAAAATAAAGGGACAACCAATGATAGAAATCACTTTACAGTGATTCTGTAGACAACATTTACTCTCTCTTTTTTTTTTCAGAAGCAGAAGGAGACTACATATAAACATATTGTAGAAATCACTTTATGACATAGTACCAATTTGAAGATTCAATAAATAATAGGACCACTACAGACCATACAACATTTGACAACATTTAAGTAAAATAGAGGGACTGCCAATGATAGAAATTACTTTACAGTGATTCCTGCCGAAAATAAATTTTTTTTTTTCTTTCCAGAAGCAAAAAAAGACAACATTTACTAATAAAGACTACATATAAACATATTGTATGACATAGTACCTTTCAATACTAAAGTACAACACAGAAAATGCATAAATAAAGCATCAAAAAATGAAAAAAGCACAGCATATGCCTCAGGTATGTCCCATACTTTGAAAATGACAACTAATTGTTTGTCAAAAGTAATAAAACAACACAAATCGTTAAGGTATTACACTTTATCACAACAACCTTGTCTCTATA